TGCTGGGGAATCCTGGGGGCTTCTTTGCCAAGGGGGTTTCTGTTCAACATTTTGCTGCTCCTTGAAAGGTGGGAGGAGGGGTGATCACAAGATTCTCAGAACATGGCTCCTGTTCTGAGGCTTCTTAGGTAAAAGAAATCCTTGTAATAATCCTTTGAGTTAGGCATTGATATTATTATTACTCGACAAATCCAATAAGTTGCCAAAATCCTGTTGATTCTACCTCCACATCATCCTGTACTTCCATTCCATTCTCTCTACTCCCACAATAACCACCTGAGGTCAGGCTCTCATCACCACTCACCTGGATTTTGGTAATAGCCTCTCAGTTGGTCTCCCTGCCTTCGTCTCATCCCGCTCCGAACCATATTCCATATGTCTGCCAAAATAATACTCCTTCAGCACAGCTCGGAACCTGTCATCCCTACTCAAACTCCAGTGGCTTCCCTTTACTTGTAGGACCAAATAGGAACACCTTTTGTTTGGCATTTAAGATTCTTCATTATTTGGCCCCTTCCTAGCTTTCCAGGTCTCTCCAAATCATTTCCTTCCATGTACTCCAAGATCCAATCATATTGGCCCAGTTGCTGATCCTCACACATGAAGCTCCATCTTCCCATCTCTTTGCTTATGTACAATCCATCCTTCATGCCTGCAATGCTCTTCTTCTTCACCTCTGCCTCTCAGAACCCTAGTTTAACTTAAATACACCTGGAACAGGAGCATTTTCTTGATCTTTATAGTTGGCTGGTGCCAAAAAAAAAACCCCTTTTATTTTATATATTATATATGTGTGCACACACAGTACATGCTGCTCCCCCATAGAATATAAGCTCCTTGTAGGCAGGAACCATTTTTTTTGTCTTTGTAATGTCAATGCCAAACCCTATGCTGAGCACATAGGAGATATTTAATAAGTGCTTTTTAATTGATCCCTATTTTGCAGATAAGAAAAGTGAGACCATCTGGTTAAATGGTTCATACAAGGTCTCAGAATTACTAAGGATATGAGGCAAGATTTGATTCCAGGTCTTCCTGTCTCCAGGTACAGAATGTTTAATCTACTATACTATGCTTCCAAGTTTACAGATGATACAAAGCTGGAATTGATAGCTAAGACTAGGGATAGAAGATTCAGGAGTCAAAAAGGACTTGACAGGTTTAGAAAACTGGGTCCAAGTCTAATAAAATTAAATTTAATCAGGATCAATATCATACCTAACTCTTGGATTCACAAATCAACTTCATAAGCACCAGATAAAAGAGGAATGGCTACACAGAAGTAGTACTGAAAAATATCTGGATAAATAAGGAGACTTACAAGTCTTATATGAGTCAATAATTTTTCTATGGCAACAAAGAAAGCTAACCTGACCATAGTAAGAGGCAAAGCTTCCAGAAACATGGAGGTGATACTCAATTCTGTCTTGGTCATTCCATTTCTTAAGTGTTGTATTAAGTTCTGAGTGCCACATTTTAAAAAAAGACTGATAATCTAAAGAACATATAAAGGATAAGAAGGAAACTGGAAACATGAAGGGCCTTATGTTCACACCATATGAGATTCACTTAAGGAACTGGTGATCTTTAGTCTGGAGAAGACTTAAAGGAAATATTATAGCTGTCTTTAGGTTATCTGAAGAGCTATCAGATAAAAGGGAAAATAAAGGTGTTATGTTTGGGCTTAGAGGTCACGATGAGGAATCATAATGGGTCAACACAGGAGACTTGATGAAAGAGGAAAATCTTCCTACCAATTTGAGCCGTCTTAAAGTCAAATGGGCTGTCTTGGGAGGTTACTGGATGTTTTCAAACAAACATTGGATGACCATTCATCAAGTATGTAATGAAAGGGATTATTGTTTTAGGGTTGGACCAGATGACTTTGAAGTTCTTCTAAGATTCAATGATTCTGTGAGTTCCAACTTCAAGGAAATCATAGATTCCTGAAGGAAAGAATTACATTAGTGAGCCTGGCATTTAAGGCCTTCCATCTGGATCACTTAAGAAGCATTTATTAGACACTGAATTGAAGTTTTCCATTCTCATTTCATGTTGCCCTTCCCATCTTCTTTATACCATCTCTGTTTAAGGTTTGGGGACTCTGTCCTCATCTCAACCTTTTGGGATCCTTCTCTTCCTTTAAAACTCAGCTGCCACTTCTTGCATGAATTCTACCCTCAACTGAAAGCATTCCCTTCTTTCCTCATAATTTTTCTGGAGCACTTTGTTCAGGTGTTTTCGTTGCCTATACTTCATATCATGGTTATGTGGGTGTTATATCTGTCATCCTTCCTCGAGGTGTGGACCTCGGCCAAATGTAAGCTCCATAAAGGCAAAAAGCTGAGAGAGGAAATGGTGGCACAGTGGAAAATGTACTGACTTTAGAGTCTCGGGACCCAAGGCTTTTGTGGAGCAAAGGTCTCCAAGTTCCCTTCATCTTGTGAAAAACCACGTGATACCATGGATAAAATGTTGGACCTAGAGACTGGAGGGCTTACTTCAAATCTGATCTCAAAATCATACTTGGCTTTATGACTCTGGGTAAGTTATTTGGCTTCTCAGCTTTAGCTTCCTCTATAAAATGGGGATGGTGTTAATAGCACATACCTCATTGGATTGTTATAGGAATCAAATGCAGTAATATATGGGAAGTGCTTTGTAAACCTTTAAGTACTCTATAAAAAAGCTGACTATGATTATGAACTATATGATATATTGTTGTATCACTGGTATCTACTACTGTACTCACACATGGCTATTTGCTAGATATTTATAATTGAATGCATTCTTTAAAAGAAAAAACCCTCTCCCTTTCCACAGTCAGAAATTATCTTTTTTAAAATCTTATTGCAATTTACTTCTCATCTTCCTTACGGTTGTTTTTCCTTAGCATTCCCTGGCCACCATACCTTATTTTGAGATTTAGTGCTCCTTCCATTTCTTATAGGACTCTACCACATGGGAAGTCACAGAACTTGCCAGCGAGAAGCATCTGGCTCATCTCTCTCTCTTATTCATAGAGTGCTCCACTTCCAGCCTTTCCTTAGCTCTTTCCAGAAGCTATTACTTCTTGATCCAGGTTCCCTTAAAAGCCAAGAGATTTGAGAACCTGCCTATTGACCTAGAACTTATTCTGCACCAATTCTGGTATAAAGGAAGCACACCAAGGGTTGTATCCTGGGACCCATGAACTTTAAAAAAAAAACTATTTTGATAACCTCATTTCAGTCTAACTGACTTCTTCTGTCATGCTATATAATTCATTTTATGCTTTTTAAAAACAGTATTCTGAAAAACATGGGATGATTTCTATGAACTCAGGCAAAGTGAAATGAGCAGAACCAGGAGAACATTGTACACAGTAACAGCAATATTGTAAGGATGATGAACTGTGAAAGACTTAGTTACTCTGACCCAGATAATGATCCCAGGACCGAGGGTGGGGAACTTGTGTCCTTGAGGCCTGAATTTAGTAGATTAGGTGAGATTCAGTTAGTTGTCCATATTGACTCATCTATCTCTATTCTGACCAGTGTGACTTCTTCCCATTGATAGGAAAAGGTAGATGTAATGACCATTCCAACCCTGGTGTGGTGTGTATGGGGGTGGGATAGACAACCCTATAATGGATTAGAAGCAACTGCATCTTCAAAGGATGGCTGGAACCAATTCAAGTTTAAGTTCCTTAATTAGATGAGCAGCATTGTGCTCAACATTCTCCCAGCCAATTAGGAGTCATATCTTCTTTCACATACAGGGCTCTGCCTCCCATATGGGAATGTTACATGTATTTTTAAATTTTTTATTTTTAGTTCCAAATTCTCTCCCTTTCTTCCCTAGCTCCTCTACCCATTGACAAGGCAAGAAATACAATATCCATTATGCAGATGAAATCATGCAAAACATATTTCTACATTAGCCTTGCTGAAGAAAAAAAGAAAGAAAGAAAGAAAGAAAGAAAGAAAGAAAAAGAAAGAAAGAAAGAAAGAAAGAAAGAAAGAAAGAAAGAAAGAAAGAAAGAAAGAAAGAAAGAAAGAAAGAAAACCAAGAAAAATAAAGAAGGGAAAAAAAGTTTCATTTTGCCCTCAGAACCTATTAGTTCTCTATCTGGAAGTGGATAGCATTTTTCATCATGAGTCCTTTGGAATTGTCCTGGATCATTTCATAGATCAAAATTGCTAAGTTTTTCCACAGTCATCATTATAATATTGCCATTACTGCTTTTACTTGTATTAAAAAAAAAAAGAATAACTGGTTTAAAGACAGGGTGCCCTTATTTTGTATCTAAGGAGAACACAAAGCTTTAAGGAGCCCCAAAGTTTTCATCTAAACTTATTTTCATACATGAGGAATCTAAGGTGCAAAAAAGTTAAATGACTTGCCCGAGGTCATATAACTGACCACAGGGCAGGGCTAAAAACAAGCCCTCTTGTCCAGAGTTGTTTCTCCTCATAATAGGCAGCTTCTTGTTGCAGGAATATATGCATGCTGGGAGATAAGGTAAATGAAATAAGAATTCTTAGGATGGTGTCATAGGATAGGAATTAGTATTTCTTCCCTGGGAATAATCAAGAATTTATCTAATCCCTGAAAGCAACCCAGAGTCTTTCTGCCTATCACCTCTTCCTGACCTACAAGTTATAGCAACCCTAGGGAATCTTTGTCATTATTACTTAATCCAAATTGACCCCACTTTTCTGTGAACCGTGGGATTTCTTGCATACATGTATAATTTTGGACAGATGTGGCTAGAGAAAAGGTAGGAAAGAACCTAAAAAAAATCCCTAATGATTTTTAATGGTCATTTTAATTCTTCTCAGGCTCTCCAGATAATTAAGGTAAATTATCTATTCCACCTACTCCACAGTGCCTCTTTTCAAGGGTCAGGTTTCAAGGTTTACTCTCCACAACAGTAGAAAAGTAGAATCTCATCACTTTATTGATATACACAGTGGTTAAAAATTCCCTTTTGATCCCCCCACACACAAATAAAGAGGCATTGCGCATTTTCACATCCACTTTTTGCATAAAGATAATTGATTATTGGAGAAAGCCATCCAAAAAAATGGTCTAGAATGTTAAATGTTATGTCCATCATGCCTGTAAAAGACCGCAGGGTATTCTGGGAAAGAAATTCAGCCTCTTTTGTTCCAATCCCATTGTATTTCTAGGTAGCCTCTATCCTTACCTACCAACTGGAAACTTCTTGAAGAGTCTATATGCTGTGGGGTTACCAGTAAGCTTCTTTGCCAGGACAGTTTCTGTCCAACTTTTTGCGGCTTATGGAAAAGAGAGTGATCCCAGGACTCTTTGGGTATAGCTGTTGCTCTGGGGCTTGTTGGGTAAAGTGGAACACAGCAGAAATAAAAGAATGTCAGGTAAGGGAATGGGAGAGGAAGAGATTTATTTTTAAAAAAAAATCTAGCCCTTAAAATAATCCATACCCAGACTGGGTAAGGGAAACATCTTTGGATACTCACTCTGAGGAGCTGATAAATCTGGATAGAGTGGTGGACTCTCTGGGGAATGACTTGGCTGTTGTTGGAGCAGCCAGTCCTTCATGAACATGGCCCGTTCCTGCTCAAAGCAGCGACGCTAAAGAATACGGGCATCATAGTGAGCGATGTGGTGCGTCCTTCCCATTCTGCCCTCATCATCTGCCCAGAGGTACACGCCTCTGATCCCGAGCTATCTCAGGCAGATTCCTTCACCCCCTCCTACTTCTCCAAAAAACAGACAAACGGAACCTCAGTGTACCTACTTCACGCCCCAGGCGGATGGCAGCCTCTGTAAAACGACGCCGTTCGAGCTCAAAGTCAGCCTGCTGCTGAGCAAACACCGTCTTGGCCTCCTGAAGCTGCAGCTGCTCCTCCAGGAAATAGGAGCCTGTGATGTCTTGGGGAAGTTCCTCTGCTTGGTTTACGTGGTCCTGCAGATAGAAAAGAAAGGAATGGGTAGGACCCTCCTCTCCTCACATGGCCAGGCTCCAATTGCCTAGCCCTCTCTCACCTGGAAACACTGCTGTTGCCACACAATCAGTTCCCGGCTCTGCTGGATCTCCTGGCGCAGCTGAGCCAGCTCTTTATCCTGGTCTGTGATGATACTCATGGGGTCCCTGCAGAGGTATTCTGGGGCTGGGAACAGGAGACACCCTCAGGTGTTACAGAGCTCTCGGCTCAGGGTCCCACCCCGCTGGAGGCAGGAGCAGTGCCACCTCTGATACTGATCTATTGGACCTTGGGCAAGTCACCCCCTGGGCCCCTCCTTGGGCCTTATTTTCTTCAATTATAAAGAGGAAGTTGGACTGAATGACCTCTGAGGTCCCTTCTGGATTAATCTCACAAATATCAAAAGAATTAACTTATCACTCACACACACACACACACACACACAGAGCCCATAATTATGGGGACCTTCAAGTCAGGAAGTCCCTACCATTTCCCTTCATTCTTTCCACCTCCTTCTTGAGGGAATTCCAGTGTCTCCATATTACATCACCATTGTCCACTGTAGCTACTTCTCCATCATCATCCTAGGGCAGTAGAAAAGGGAAGAGGGAAGGGAATGAAACTAGAAGGAAAAGAGGCTGCATCCTAAAAGACGCCAAACCTGGTATCTCCTTGGAAATCCTATGTAGAAGTCCTCTAAAAATAGTGACTAGGTGCCAGGGAACCAAGGGATGTCCAGAAGCAGGTATGTCTTTAAAAGGATTCAACACACAAATACCCGGGGGAAAGTCTGACCAAAAAGCCTCTGCCCTTCACCCCCAGCTTCCCCTCCTCCAGGATGCTCACAGAAGGCTCGCTCTGGGGGAAGCTCAGGAGCCTGATCACATCCCTGTCCATCCGGCCTAAGATCTGTTTCAGCTTTTTATTCTCCTGGGACATTTCTGCCACTTGGTGTTCTAGGTTTGCCACCACAGTCCGAAACAGCTCTCCTTCCTTCCTATAAGATGGAAAGAAAGAAAGACAGTAAACTATAAAATGGGAGAAAGAGGAGGAATTACCGCATGTACCTTACAGGGTTGTTGTGAAAATCAAATGAGATGGATGCAAAGTGCTTTGCAAACCTCAAAGTGTTATACAAAGAGTAGTGATTGTAACAGAAAAGGGCACTCACTCCATCATCTGACTATGACAAGCCCCTTCAGAGTCCCCGTTCCTGGGTCCCTTACTTGTTGTCAGCCTTGCCTGCCTTCCATGGGCGTTTCCCATCCATCCGGTTCAGGGTATTCAGAATGTCAATAGCTAATGTAACAAGCAAAAAGAAAACATGTGAGAGTGGTGAATGATATCCTTCTCTGGGTTTCTTTTTCCCCCCCAGAAAGAGGGTCAGCAATTGCCTGCACAGATTAGAGCTGGCCTCAAAGCCAAGGAGACATGAGTTTAATGACATGTACTGGCAGGGTGATCCTGGGTAAGTAACATAACCTCTAAATCCTCTAAGCAACTCTTTTTTAATTTTTTTAATTTTAGATAAATGCTAAAACTTAAATACTTAATAAGAAAAGAAAAAGACACATTATGAATTTAAATATAAAATAAGAAAAAAACCAAAAAAATGTCATGTGCACAGCAGAACATAGGAGAGGATTTCAAATATATAGCAATAACTTTTCATTTCAAGAAACCCTATATGTTAACAACTGTGCATTCTGTTGAAAGCTGTCCATCTTTTCTTTGCTTCCTTGTAGGTTTTCTTTTGTTCTCTGATGGACACTTTTTACTTTATTCTTCCCCCCCCCCCACCACCACTCCAAGGCTACAATTGAGCATTAGATATATTTATATATAGGTATTGGTATATACATACACTTATATATACACATACATACATACATAAACATATATTTTCCCTAAGAGATTCTGCTCTTAATCTTTGTTTTTATGTTTGTGCATTTCTTTTTTTACCTGATTTCTCCTGACTCCTCTACTTTTCTTCTACCTATCTTACCCTCCTATTACTTAACCTACCCCCACTCCAGCAATCCCTCCCTTATCCTCCCATTCCCCTAAATCTAAACCCCCTTCTTTTAACCTATTCCCTCACCCACTCCTCTAAAGGTCCCTCCTTTATCCTCTCCCCCCTCCCTATCCCCTTAAGAGTTTTATTTCTTACTAAATTTAGAAGACTTTTATACTCTTCTAAATATATATGTATTTTCCCTTCTTAAACCCATTCCCAATGGGAGTAGTTTTCCAGAATGAACAGCCTCCCTCCCCCTTCTAATTCCTCTTTATTGGTTCTTCCTCTTGTATTTCATTTGTAAAAGATAGTTACTCTTTTAGCTGTACTTGAATGATTTTACCTTTTGAAGTCATACTCAGGTCTACCCCAATTTTCCTTGTTAAGTTACCCATTTACTAGTGACAATCTTAGACATAGGTTTTACATTTTTCATACATAAAAGATAAACATTCTATCCTTAGCTCCTTGTATTTGTATGTACCTTATATTTCTTTTTTTTGTTTGTTTGTTTTGCTGGGCAATGGGGTTAAGTGACTTGCCCAGGGTTACACAGCTAGTAAGTGTCAAGTGTCTGAGGTTGGATTTGAACTCAGGTCCTCCTGATTCCAGGCAGGGCCAGTGCTCTGTCCACTGCACCACCTAGCTGCCCCCTGTACCTTATATTTCTCTTGGCTCTTGTATGTCAAATCTTCTATTTGAGTTCAGGTTCGTTGGTTGGTTTTTTAAACAAAGAACTGAAAGTCTGACAATTGATCAAATGTCCTTTTTTTTCCCCTTCATTCAGAATTATGCTTACCTTTGCTGGGTATGATATTTTTGGCCCAAAACCCAGTTCCTTTGCTCTTCAATATGTAGTGTTCCAAGACCTGTGATCTTTTAGTGTTGACACTGCTAGGTCTATTGTGATTCTAATCGTGGTAACACCACACGCAAATTATTTTTTTCTTGTTGCTCATAATATTTTATCCTTGATTTGTGGGTTTCAGAATTTGACTATAATATTCTTGTGAGTTTTCCTCATAGGATCTCTTTCAGGTGCTGATCAGTGGATTTTTTCTATTTCTACTTTCCCCTCTTGTTCTAATGCTTCAGGGCAATTTTCTTGAATTATTTCTTGTATGATTGTATCAAGATTTTTTTTGATTAGAACTTTCAGATAGTCTAATTATTCTTGTTTTCTCTTTCTCTAGATGCTGTTTTTTCTTGTGAGATGTTTCACATTCTTCTCTATTTTTTCATTCTTTATTTTTTTAAATTTTTATTTTTCCGTCTCTTATAACTTTGCTGGCTTCCCCTTGCCCAATTCTGACTTTCAAGGAGTCATTTTCTTCCTTAAGATTCTAGATCTCCTTTCCTAATTGGTTGACTTTCTTTCCATAATCTTGTTTTTCTTGCATTATTTTTATTTTTCTTTTTTAGTTTTTTCCTCAATCTCTCTCATTTGATTTTTAAAGTCTTTTTTAAAGTTCTTCAATGAATTCTTCTTGGGCAGGTGACCATTTGACATTACTCTTTGGGGAAGAAGAGGGTTTCTTTGCTTCAGTGTCCTCCTCTGAAGATGAACCCCAATCTTCTCTGTTCTCATAATACCTCTCTGTGGTTGGATTCCTTCTCCTTTGCCTGTGCACTTTTTTGGTAATAATTTAGTTTTTATAATCACCTCTAGTCTTGGGGTATGGGGGATGGTGCCTCTAATCCTCTTCAGTTCTCCCTTCTGACCTTGAACTCAAACCAAGACCTCCAACCTCCTGTAAGTGCTCACAGCAGAGGCATCCTCACCGCACTGCTTTGGCACTCACCAGGCATGTGCTGGTTCCTTCTCACCTGGGGATGCTCTGCATATCACAGCCTGGTCTTTCATTCCTTGTCAGCAGAGTTTCCCTAGATCTTCCCCATATCAGACTGCCAATTCCCCTCACTATCCCAGGGGTAAAAGTTCCTGTGGCTGGGGCTGAGTCAGGGTCCCAAACCAGCTAACTAGTTAAAAGCAGCCTATAGGTGTTTAACCTTCACAGGGACAACATCCAGGATTTTTCTTCAGATCTTCTCAAATTGTCCCTGGAGGACCTCTCTTGTTCCACTACTATTTGTTTTCAGAGCTCTATATTCACCCAGAGGTGCTATTTCATCTCTTCTGTGAAGGAAAATCTTGAGAGTTTGAAATTTCCTGACCTACCTGGGCCATCTTTCCAGAATCCGCTCTCTAAGCAACTCTTTAAGATCATGAACTGCACAGAAAGAAGAGTTCCCAATACTATTGAAATCACACATTCAGGCCCTCCCATCAACCCCTGAAGCAAGATCCTCTCTAAAGAAATGGAGAAGGTCTCTGCCTTGTCTCTAACGGTACCCACGAGTCCTGTGTTAGTGCCTTTTTTCTGACCCCCAGGATCTCCCCCAGCCCAGCACCTGGGTCTCCCTCCCCAGCGTACATGCCCTTTTGTCCCGCCGTTCTCCCAGCTGGACTCTCTCCTTGAGCTTCCGTAGCTCTTGCTCCTTCTTCTTCAGCTCATGGTCATACAGTGTTCCCCGAGTGGCCACCAACAGCTGCAGCCGCTTCACCTGCAGAGAAGAGGTCATGACAAACCACAGCTGGGAGGAGAAGAAAACGATGCAGAGGAAGGGGGAGGGCAGAGCTCAGGCATGAGAACCGAAGCCGGGGAGGAGAACACTCTAGGTCCTCAAGGGTGGTCCTTTGACTAAAGAACATCCCCTTTCAGTCAAAGGGCCACCATTGAGGATCTAGGGCCTCGAGGCCTCAGGTTGCCCACCCCTGGCTGAAGCCTTCTCACCATTTCCCTCACTCAGATCAAGCCCTGACCTCATACCTCTTCCTGTTCCTTGTCCAGCTCACACTGCAGCCTTTGATTCTGGTCCTGGAGCTCCTGCTCTCTGGCCTCTACCAAAGCAATCTTCTCCTTACACATCTCCACCTGGGCCTGGAGCCAGAAATACAAAGGCCTGCTCTTGCAGCTCTCTGCCCCAGGTGAACAGTCTCTGTCTCCTATTCACAGTAGTAGGATCGAGAAAACAGAGGGATTTCACCCCCACCCCAGCCACCTCAGTTACCACTTAAGTGGCAGGAAGTTTTTACTGAGGGTGGGGGTGGAGTGTGGAGGTTCAATTCAGTCCCTCCTTAAACCCACTCCACTTTTTTCTGTTCTCCACAGAGATAGAGAACAGCTGTTTTCCACACCTAGAGTAATCAGCCTTCAGTGGGAATATTCTATTGCCCTCCGTTTTCTCTTTTTCCCTTTTCTTGCAATGACACTTTTGAGCTTTTCCTCATTCCCAGGACTCTTCAAGCTGAGAAGCCCTTCAGCCATCCTGTAAAAACCTAGAGAAAGTTATATGGCATGGGGGATGGGGGGAGGGAGGAGTAGGAGTAGTAATAGTGTTTATATAATACTTTAAGGTTGAAAAACACTTTGTAAATATTATCAAATTATATTGTCACAGCAATCCTGAGAGGTAAGATGAGGTTATTATCCCTATTTTACAGATGAGGAAACTGAGGCAGTCAGTGTGACTTATCTAAGGTCACTCAGCTAGTGCCTGAGGCCAGATTTGAACTCTGGTCATCCTGACTCCCATATTGCCTACTTGCTTGATGTCAATCCCCATAATTCATTTTGTGGAAAAGAATTTAGGACTTCCCAGGCACCATCTCTTCTCCCCCAGGGAGAAGGACATCATTTATATGGGAGAAATCTGACCAAACTTGACTCCTACCCAATCCCAAAACATTTCTCTATTACTCTACTCCCTTCTCCCCAATGCTCAGAATAATTTACGTAATCATCACCTGCATTAATTCTCTAAATATTCATTTTGTGTCTAATTCCTGTACAAATAAATAAAAAACAGTACCTTTTTTGAGATTGGTAGTTATTTGTCCTTTCAAAAAAATCTACCTATCTATTGCCTCTGACAAACCAAGATCATTGATAAAGAGCTGGTGGAGACCTCAAAAGCCAGGCAGCCCAAACCTTTCACTTTATGAATGAATGAGAAAAATGAAGCTGAGGGATTTGCCCAAGATCACACAGGTAGCATCAGAGCCTCAGTCTTCTGGCTCCTGAGACAGTGCTCCCCAAAAGCAAGCCTAGAGCTTCTTCCTCTAGACCTTTTTTAGTGCCCCCAAATCACCCTCTCTAACCAATGAGCCCATTGTCCCAGAGGCAGACTGACCAAGGGCCTCACTCTGCCCATTCTCACCTGGAGTTGACTTTGTCGACCTCGAAGGGAATCCAGCTCTTCAGCTCTGTTCAGTTTCTCTTTCTCCATGTAGAGGTTCAACTGGTCCTTATGGAGTTGTAGAATGGTCTAGAAAAGATTGGGGAGTCCCAGGAGGTGCCCTTGTGGCTAGCAGGGGGAAGGTCCAAGAATAAGGAATAGAGGAATCTTCAGTTCCAGTGAAGAGACAGGCTAGAATGGCCCAACCCCTACAACAGGGACCTGAGAAGGGTGAAAGGGTAACCAAGCAACAGGAAGTGCTCTTGGAAACACCCTCACAATCAATCCCCTTCCCTCATAAAGAGAAGGGTCATACCCCTCCAGCCCTAGCTTCAAGGACAGAGCATTCCAGAGGTATGTGTTGGGTGCTGCAGAGCCCCTGGAACAATCAGTGAGGAAGGCCCAGATATCTTTGGAGTCTGGGTGAGAATTGGGAACAAAGGCAGAGAGAGGTGTGGGTACAATGCTGAGGGGGTAAAGGAACACTTTCAGTTCCCACATGGGGGGGGGAAGGAGGGAAGGAGGGAAGAAGGGAAGGAAGGAAAAAAAGACCCAGGATGTGGGGAGAGAAAGTAATGTTATAAAGAAGAAGGAATAGAAGGGCCCCCATAGCTAAAATTTCCCTAGTCATTACCTGAAGACAATGTTATATCTTTCTGGAGGTCCCTGATGTTGGTGGGGGTCAAAAGGAGCAGGCTAGGTAAGAATACCAAAGGAAGAGTCAAATCTCTGTAAACCAGGCACAAGTCACAGGAGATGGAAAACTGCTTGGGAATCACATTATCCCCACTTAAATTCCATTCTATTCCCTCCCCCTCTAAACTCTTCAGTTCTCCATCTCTAACCATCTTCTAACTTCTCCCTCACCTCCACTCTGTTGTCAAGTTCACTTTATATTCAGTTTAACTCAGTAACAAAACTTTGATTAAACTCTCACTCAAGAATTCAGCCAACACCTTGAAAGCATTATTGCTCAGACCTAGCTCATTTAAGACCCACTCACCTCTTCCATTGGGCACTTTCCCACCAGTAGGAGAAAAAGTTTGGCCAACCAACTCCCAGGATGAAAGGTATAGAAGGAAGCTAAAGAGAAAGGCAATTGGCAGAGGAGTAATGAGGGAGGAAGTTTACTTCCTCATTCCCCTTTAACCCTTCCCCCCCCTCAACATGGAGGGCAAGATCTCTGGACCCATAAAATCATAGGATGACTGGAAGCAACCCAAAAGGTAATTCATGCTAATTCTCTCATTTGACAGATTGATTCATTCAGAATCCATTTGTTAAGCACCTATTATATAGAGAGCACTGCTCTAGGTGCTGGAGAAGATGCAAAGGAGAAAGAAAAAAAGAAGGAAGGGAGGAAGAAAGAGGAAAAGGAGAGAAGGAAGAAAGAATCTTTGACTTCAAGGAGTTTGCCAACCTAGCCTTGGAGGATATGATGCAGTTTTCACCTAAGGTTTATCTACTGCTTCACCACCCACTCACCCTTCTGAATCCCTTACACTCTAGTTTCTTTCTCTATTACCATAGAAAAGTTACTTTCAAAGTCAGTAATAACCTCCTCAACAAATCAAGAAATTCTTAGTGCTCTACTCCTTCAATCTCTCCAGCTTTTGCCACTATTCTTTCCTTGGCTTCCAAGACAACATTTTCTTCCTTTTTCTTATCCTACTTTTCTAATCACTTTTCTTTAACTCCTTTGCTGCCTCTCTCCATTTTTCCAAAAGATTTAATGTTAATGAAGATAGATGGAGTAGAGACAGATAGAATCAAGGCTAAATATGGCCCCCTAGGTCCTCAAGTGCAGCCTTTTGACTAAATCCAAACTTCACAGAGCAAGCCCGAACTTTTCTCCTAAGGTTTCAAACTGCTCAGAGGATATCTCTGTCCCTCTGGAAACTCAGAATGTTCAAAAGTGAACCTCTTCTCTCCCCTTTTCCCTCAAAAAAACTCTTGTTCCTCCTTTTTAATTTCCCCATTTCTGTTAATGGCATGACGATTCACATCCAGGGATTTAAGTTTGACAGCTTGCTGCTAGCTTTTAATTCTTCACTCTCCTTCATCTTTCACATTTAATCAGTTACCAAATCCTGGCCTACTTCTCTGGAAACATCCTCTCCTCTCCAGTACCATGACCTAAGTAATAAAAAGCCCTCATAATTTTCTATTGCTTCCCTACTCAAGATCCCTTAGAGGTTCTGCAATGTCTGCTGAATAAAGTTTGAGCTCCTTAGTTTGGCATTCAAGGCCCTCCACAATTTAGTACCTCCCCACTTTACTGCCTTCCACAATTGTCCTAATGTAGAACCCTCATCATTTCATCTCACTTGCTACATCTTCCCATTTCCATGTCTTTGGCTCACGTAGCCTAGCTAGCCCTCTCTCATCTCCACTTATTGAATATCAGCAGTAATTGAAATCAAAGCTCAAATGCTATCATATCCTCCAAAAGCTTTTCATGATTCCCTAGTTAGTAATGATCTTTCCTCAATTAGAGCTCACTTAACACTTAGTTAATAGCTCTCTTACGTGCTTATAGTGTATTGTGGCATTTGGGTGTCTGGCATATCCTGCCTCACTGGATGGTGAGCTCCATATAGTCAGAGACCATGTGTCTTTGTTCTTTCCCCAGTGCCTAACCCATAGCACATTATATGTGCTTGTGTGTGTGTGTGTGTGTGTGTGTGCACGCACGCGCATGAGTGCATGTGCACACACATGATGGATAGAGTATTAGACTTGGGCTCAGGAAGACCTGTGTTTGAATCCTGCCTCAGATTGTGTGACCCTGGCAAAATTATTTAACTTCTCCCCTTCAATTTCATCATCCTTAAAATAATAGCACCTGCCTCAGGTTGTTAAGTATCAAATGAGATTTTTTTCCCCCTTTAATCTGATGACTAATGTATGAGGGTTTTACTTTCCTAAGAGCTAAAACAAAACCATATAATGGGTCAAAGTTTCTTAACTTGAAGTCTATGGACTTTTTTTTAATACATTAAAATCTTTACCTCAATATCACTGTTTTCCTTTGTAATCCTATTCGTCTTATATTTTTAAAAACATTATTGTGAATAGGGGTCCATGGGCTTCACCAGATTGCCAAAGGGGCTAGAACAGAAAAAAAAAAGGTTAAGAAGCCCTTCTCTAGGCACTGTGCTGAAAGTGCCATGGTCTAAGGGTTCACTGTTCCTCTACTGAGAAAGACAGTAGAACCTCAGCTGAGGACTCCAGCTAGATCAGAGCTTAGAATAATAGGAAGACCATTTGAAACTTTGTGGCCAATGGAGCCATAACAGGTAACAACCCACAGCAGTCATAGGCCAAGCATAGCACAATCCAGCAGAGACGATGTCCCACAAGAGAGCAGCATTAGGGCCCAGGTCGAGGGGGAATCGATGCAAAGATTTCACTAGGAAACATTTGTGGCTGGCCCTGAAAAACTGGAGCTGTGCTTCCCTTCTACATTATAGTCCAGCCTCACATTTCCTGTTTGTGTGACTTTTCATGTATGTTTCTTATATGTCCTTACTGTTACACGTGATATATTAATAGGATATTGATAGAAGAATGTGCCCCCCAGGTTTATGGGGGGGGGAATTTTTATGGCTACTTTTCTTCATGCTATTTCATTACATGACTTTGCTTTGAATTATGTCCTCTTTTTAAAGTATCCTTTCAAAATTATATATCTAGAAATTATGTATTATTATAATAACATAGTATAATAATAGCACTTACTGGGTGCCAGGCACTATACTAAGTGCTTTACAGTCATTAATTCATTTGATCCTTACAACAACCCTGGGAGGTAGATATTATTATCCACATTTTACAGATGAGGAAACTGAGGCAAACAGAAGTTAAGTGACTTGCTCAGGGTCACACAACTAGCATGTATTTAAAGTCGAATTTGAACTCAGGTCTTTGCAACTCCCAGCTATATCTACCGTGCCACTAGGTTGTTTCAACACCAAAATAACAAAAGTGAATACATTTTAGAGTCTCGTGAGCCTTCCTTGAACCTGAGGTTCCCTTCTCTGAGGGAGCTACTATGCAAACTCAGATAACGCCCCCATTCGTTAGGTAATGTTAACAATAAACATTCTGATTGACCATATATAGAGCTAAGAGAAGACTAATCTCCAGATTTGTCATGACTTAAAGACATTGGTATGGTGGAGAGTGTTGGAGGACAGCAACAGGAAGAACCTTGAATCCATGAAGGAAATGGAAATGTTTAGCCTGGAGGAGACTTGAGGAGGATGTGACAGCTGTCTTCAAGTATGAATGGCTGTCAAATGGACTAAGGATCAGAGTTGTTCTGTTTGGTACCAGGGGATAGAACCAAGAACACATCAGGAAAGGTGGAAAGAGGTAGATTTAGACTGGAGATCAGGAAAAATCAAAACTAAAAACTTCTTAAAACTTAGAGCTACCCAAGAGTAGGATGAGCTTCCTAAGGAGATGCTGGTTGTCCTGTCCTTGAAGATCTTTAAGCAGAAAATTTATAGTGGGGACATCTTTTGCACATAGGTCAGACTAGAGAGCCATTGAGGTCCCTTCCAACTTTCACATGCCATGATTCCATGAGTTGCATAAGATAGGATAGAATCCTTCAAGAGGGCAGAGTGTTGGAGTGCTGGTTGAGGAGGCTGCATGTAGAACACCAGCCTTGGCTGGGTTTTCAATTCCCCTTGTTTCTTTTTAGCTCTTTGAGGGAGTTGGACAGGAGAAATCGATATTGTCATACAGCATGGGACCAAAGGTTACTAAATCTGCAGGGTCCTTTAAGAAGCAACAGAACATGTTCAACCTGTTGAATGGTTGAAAGTTGCTTTCAGACATTGTTATTTAGCCTTTGAATCAGAGCTCAGGTCAGGCAAATGATCTCTTACATTGCAAAGGAATGAAAGAAAAAGCACACAAATTGGCATTTCTATAGTAGGATCTAGCAGGCAGCTTTGGAGAAAAGAGATGAGATGGGACATGCTAGGGCCAGGAATACTCCCTTTCTGCTCATGGTAGAAAATAAGAATCAGCTCATTTTGCAGCAGGGAATTCAAGAGGGGGAAAATAATCTAACCTTGCAAGCGAGGCTATGTGAAAACCTCTCCCTATCTGGTTGTGAATTCATCAGGCAAATTACTGGCAAATGCATAAATTATTATACAGATCAAACAAAGGCAGTTCAC